AGGGATATATCATTGCCAGCTTAGGCCCAATCCTCCGGGGAGCAGGCCTAGGCCAGCAGGTGGTCATCCCGGAGAGGGCACAGGCCTGGCTGAGGGACTTCCCCGCCCCTGAGTGCACAAATTTTTGTGCACTGGGCCTCTAGTTAAGTTATAAATAGAGAGATAAATCAATGGCAATTTTTAAAAAATATATTTTATTGATTTTTTTACAGAGAGGAAGGGAGAGGGACAGAGAGAAACATCGATCAGCTGCCTCATGCACGCTTCCTACTGGGGTTGTGCCTGCAACCAATGCACATGCCCCTGACTGGAATCGAACCTGGGACCCTTGAGTCCACAGGCTGACGCCCTATCCACTGAGCCAAACCAGCTAGGGCAATGGCAATTTTTTTTTGTTCCACTAAGAATATGCTTATGCTAATATTCCAGGAAGACAAATTATTTTGAAATAAAAAATATCATTTAGCATTCTTTGCATTTTCTCTCTTTTGGAGATCAAATTTAAAAATGACTTTTCAACTTAAAAAATATAGATAAATAATTTGTCAAGAAATTAACAATTAAAAAGTCTATCTAACTAGACATAACAAAGACATAAAATCCACTATTATCAGAATAAAATCCACTATGTATCAGAATAAAAAAATTATTCTCTTTAGGAATATTATATGCTCAAGTGATACTTTATATAAGTAAAAATCTTGAATTATTATTTAAATGATTAATGCGTTTAATTACAAAGTAGATTTGGGAAAATAGCATTGAACTAAACATTTGCTTTTCAGTCTACTTTTGTCAAATGACTCTAATTATGTTTCTTTAAGCATTAGAAGTCCATATTATTTATAATGTCCTACTTATGGTATTTGACAAAGAAAATGGAGGATTGGGGACACTGCAATGCAACAGAGAGAGTTAGTGAAGCATCTGGACTACAAAACAGACCGATTGCAGGACATTCTCATGATTTTCTTGGGGATGACACACTCATAAATCAGCTATTTTAGTAATTTGAAATGTCCACTTTTTAAACTGTGTCTATTAGAATTTATCTATTTGTACTTGCAACCACAAATTAAAAGTGGGATTTTTTTTCTATCATTGGCATAGTGAAAAACAAAAAACAAAACAAAATTTCCCAAACCACAAGGAATTTTTCTAGTAAGTGGATGAATGTATCTATAGTATTTGTTGATCAACTTTCTAAAAAATGCTTCTAGAAATTATCTAAAGTGTTCATTTTCTTTCAGATGTTTGAGAAGCACATCCATAGTGTTCTATAAAAGTTGAAAACTATTTATTTAAAATGTTCAAATGTACCAATATTAATCCTGTCTTCAGAATTCCAGGTGAAGAACGGCGACATGATTTCTGTTTATTTTGCTCATAACTGTGGAAGATCTAAGCTTTACAATTATATAAAAGTGATTCTTGTTCATTACACACTTGCAATATTTCCACTGCATTTATCATTCTGGCATCTATGTAACCTCCAACGACACAGCCATAATCCAAAAGTTCCATTAACCATTATCTCTCACATTAGCTTACCACAATCAGCACAATTTCTGAAATTAAATTTTAACACTGATTTATGTACCCAACAATAGCAATTAGTCTTCTTCATCCATGATGTAAAGTCACACATCATTTGTACTTAGACTGATATAAAATATCCAGAATATGGGTGGTTGAGTATTATTGAGGTAGGGTGAAAGTAAAGATAATTAGCCATTCAAAATCAGTGTGTACACACACACACATGCACACACGTACCCATACACACACAGAGGAATCTTATTAAATTACCAAAAACTGTACTTTGGAAAATATAATACTATTTAAAATAAAAATAAACTATAAAACATTTTCATAAAACTGATAGTAATTTTAGTTTAAATCAAATTAATTACAAAAACACTATGTGGAAAACAGAAATTCCTTGAGAACAAAATAATAATTTATCTATGTCTCAGACCCAATGGATTTTCACTGAGGTTTTTCTATGTGCTACAAGATCCCACTGTAGGGAGAAAGTTTGCTTAAAACCAGATAGAAATAGCAGTTAATCATATTTTGCACAGCATTCCACTAATTTCCCATTTTAAACAACCTTATTATTAACCACTATGCTAGACCCCATCGATCTATACATGGTATGCATATATAAATATACAAAAATATGAATGTAGCTTTTTAAAGATACAATATCTGTTTTTTTAAATATTTCACAATAATACAAGCAATTTAGGTGCTACCCATCTCTATTTCCTTCAGAAAAGGAACATAGTTTAATCATGTCTTAATTTATACTTTTATACAGAATATAGTGTTCAAATCTGGCCTTCCTATCCGGCAATTAGCTTTTTAATAGTATTTAAGACCTAGCTAGATAGCATATAATGGCCTGCTTCAATTTTCGAGGCATTGTCATTATCTCAAATAAGTAAATAAAACACTTTAAATAACACTTCTTAAACCTTCTTATAAATATTTGGCAATAGGCCTTTAGTATTACATTCATCAACACCTGTTGGGAATATCTGTCATTTGCACTAAGACAAATTAATTCATCTTAAGATGTAATGGTTGTCATTAAATCATCATCAATCACAGTAGCAGTAGGATGAGAAAGTCTAAGAGAATGTTTTATGTGAGAGTTTCTAAATCTACACATTTCAATTTAACATAATCATAGATATATTATTTACATTTGTAATGAACACATGTAATGCAACACAGCAAACAGGAATCATCAAGATACATGTCACATCTTGTAAGTAAGAGAGATTAGGAGGCTCTTAAGATAGTAATTGGGCTATTTGTTTCCAGATCACATACCACTAAGATTTGGCAGAACAGTTTCCACAGCATATTTCACCCAATTGTCTGATACATTCCTAAATTTCCTACCATAGACCAGACTGGGCTTTATAATCATGAGAAAAAACTAAGGTGAGTGTTAGGTAGAAAAGAAATATGCCCAAGTAACCCAGTGGTGCCCAGAGAGGAGGCAAAGTTTCTTTTTTGAATTCTAATACAGTAGTTGACATTTACTGTTTATTCCTCAAGTGGAAAAGACATTACTGGGCTATCAGTGATTTAATGATCTTACCTTCTTCACAATTACTCCACTAACCTCAGAGAGAAGGCCCGAATCAAGGTTGTCCTTTCAACGTAGATGAAAACTTTAAATTATAGGTTTATTAAAAATTTGACCTTCATACAAACCATAAAATAGTTTCAAGAAAAAATATTTTGAAAAAATTAAAATACATTATCAGCATGTTCCTTACCCATAAGTGCAATTAAAATAAAAATAAAATAAGAAGAAATGAAAAAAATAAGCAATAAAATTTAACACTCTTTTCAAATACTAGTAAAACCAGTCAGTCATTAGGTTTTTAAAAATAATATGAAACATTGAAAAAACGTAATAAAACAAATAAAGAATATTTCTATTATTACGTAGACATATGGATGTACATTTTCCTTCTTTGGACACACAGTTGCTACTGGACTAGGATGCAGCAGCAAGGAACTGGATATCTCTAAATTGAGTGTCCTGAAAGGCACTGAATCAGCAGAGATAAATTGTGGCAGGACTGCTTGGCTGTGAACTTCACTTAGGAGGTGATGAATTAAGTTCTTTCTCTAAGTGGATCCATTTTGGTCATGTCTGAGCAAAAGCAGGTACCCTCACAAAACTCTAAGTGGCTCTGAGGTCTTCCTTACAGAGTATATTTCCCCCATTCTGCTGCACTGATGACCACATTCGTATTACCTTGCTCTCCTACAACCTGAAAAGTATCTAAAGATTTATCTTCCTTAGCTCTTCTGCCAATGTGAGCCAACTACTATATGTTCCTCAAAAGGAACAGATTCATCTGGGTGGAAAATAGCAAATAAATGGGAAGAGGCCCCAAATGACAAGTTTACTAGGAACTAAAATGTCAAATATTAAAATGCACACAACTGGAAGTTATAACAGCAAGGGAAGAAGAGGAAAGCACTACATATTTAATACAGAAGAAAACTGTTTTTTACAAAAAGAGAGTCATGGATTGAGAGGGAGGTAAGACATATTTTCTCATTTTGAAAGACAAAACATGTTCACATGTGCCTTCACACACACACACACACACACACACACACACACACACAAACAACAACACACAAAACAGTTATATAAATATCACCAAAAAATAAAATTACCTTTTGGGCAATAAGAAAATATTGATTTACTGAATTAAATATTCCACCAGCACTCCACTTCAAACAACCGAAATCCCAGATAAATAAATTTATAAGTAAATTTATACTAGTACACTTAGCAAGGAAAGAACTTTATCGTGACTGTCTGCATATTAGAATTAGAAAATAATAATATACATCATGTTTACAATATGGTCTTATGTTTGGTATTATTAAAAGTTACCCTTCTGTTTAAAGCATCTGGGATAGACAATAATTAAAGTTTTAAAATCACTAGTCTTATCAAAGAAACTTCACACTATCAATAACATATAACAGCCTAGTACCATATACCAATAGCCTTGGGTAGGAGAGTAAAGAATCTCATATGTCATAAAATGTTTTCATTGTCAGAATTTTGCTAGTTTCTCAGTAAATCATTTTAAATATTGCATGTAATGTTTTCTTCTGCCCTCTCCAGCAGGCCCAACTGCTGTGAAAGTCCATTTTAACAGAAAGAGCCTGCCTAACCAGAGAAAAAGTATTTTTTTTCAGTTGCAGAGAAACAAGCACAAATAACAGTTACATAAGTATGTGTAAAGTGTGGTATGGCCAGAGTAAATGGAATATACTAGTATGTACACAACATTCTTCACACCACATCCCCATCTCCATCGTCATCATCATCATTGTCACTGTCATTGTCATTATCATCATTATCATGATGTCACCTTCACCAACCACATCACTGCAACATTGGAACCATTTTCTCTTCCTCCCTCTCCCTCTCTCTTAGACTTTCTTACCTCTCTCCCTCCTGGTACTGCCTCCAGTCTTTTCAGGTTCAAACCCTGAAAGAAAACAAAATAAAAATAATATATTAGTGTTGGCAAAGAAGTTACATAATAATTAGTACTAGTGCCAAACTTTTGAAGTAAAAGAAATAACTCACTTAAAGAAGATCTGAGTATAGATGAATATCTCACACATATGCCAATATCTGTACCTGCATAAGTCTTCAAAGGTGGTACCGATGAACTAGTATTTCCTGCTAAATCTTAAGATCATTAGTAAAAGCGCAATATAAGCATTTGTTTTAGTAATGATTGCTCATGCCTTGCTGAGATGACAATCTAAAAGCTGCTGTTTAAACTGAAGTGGTGCATGTAGGACATGCTAGGATAGTAAGCTCTTACTCTATGCACTGGGTCTGGCACGTTTGGCACACGAGTAAGAAAGAGAAAAGCAGCAGCATCCCTGGCAGCACTGGTCATCACCTAGGAAACATTCAGGATACTATCTCCTGACAAAGGACCTGTCTCCCTCTTCTGTCATCATAACTGCTTTCTATGATAAGAATTCCCAGTGAACATGATGCTTCATTTAAATGGAAGAAGAGTTCATCTTTTTCTCAGCAAGCCTATCGTAAACAGTGCTTATGGCACAAGAGTCTCTCTCTCTCTCTCTCTCTCTCTCTCTCTCTCTCTCTCTCTCTCTCTCTCTCTCTCTCTTTCTCTCTCTCTCCCTCTCTCTCTCCCTCTCTCTCTCTATTCAAACAAAACTCTCAGGAAACACCTATACAGATCTCTAGAGCTCCTTCTCTGTGTATTTCCCGCTACGTGTTTCTGTGATCTCACCCACAAATTCTAGCTGCCTTGGTCTCTCTAAACTCAGATCTTTGTCTCCTCAACTACAAATCTAAAGACTCTGGTATTCTGTGCACCATAATCCAAAAACTGTCTCCAGGTAGAAACCCAGGTACTGTAAGGCTCTCTTCCTCTTTTCTCAAGTGTTATGCACTTTCTTGTGTGCTTTTTTATGTGTGCTTTTTAATGATAATTGTTTTATATGTTTTGTCCAGTTTTCTAATCATTACAGCAGACGGCAAGTCTTATAGATAGTACTCCTTCATCAATAGAAGCAGAAGTCAAAGTAAGTACTTTACATGTATTTTTTTCAAAGGAGAAAATTAAAGCTTATAAAATTTAAATTATGTCAGCTGAGTACCAGAACTAGTAAGTACAACAGCAAAATTCAAACAATGTCTTAAAAGCCTGGACACCAAGCTCATTCACTCATCCTTAGCCAGGGTTCTTTAAATTCATAGCAGTGTAAATGTTATGTGTGTTTTATACTTATGGACACAAATTAATGATAACATGAAACTTATGAATGAGTCATGATGTTTCTTCAAGGAAATAGTGATTAAGAGAGCGGGGTGTCAGGACTTTGAGGGAAAAAAAAGCATACCCACTTGGATGAAGAGGGGCTGAAAGGTAAGCTTGCCAGGGTAATATATTGTCTGAATTATATAAAGAGTTTGGTCATAATTTGGGCACTAAATTATTGAAAAACCAATCTTTAAGTTGAAGAGCTGAGTCAGAGAATCTGAGGACAGGAATTTGGGAGCCATGTGGGCAAAGAATAATGACCTAAGAGGATTCTCCATATGCTAACAGGGCCTCAGGCAAGAATTTATCTCAATGGAGAAGTCAAATGATCTAGGATGTAATGAGATTCACTAAGAAGTACTGAGGTGTGACCTGGAAGATGTGAAACCCTCACCGATGGCAGAAATTACTCTGAGCATTAGAGTAAGACTAAGCTTCTAGTTGGAAGGTCATCTGGCTTGAGTGGGGAAAGCTGCTGGGGGAAGTACAATCTGTGGCTTAGAGCTTCTACTAGGAAAACAACAGCTCTCATGGTTTTTGGTGGTTCTTACAGAGAGTAATTTGGTTAACTTGCTTTGAAAGATTAGACCATCACATCAACCCAATTAACTAAGCAATAACAGTTAAGACAAGGAGTATTTTCAAAAGAAATATTAATCTCAAAGGAACCCAATCTTTTCCTTGTGTTAATTTATATATATACCACACAATTTTCACATTTTTGAAATGAAAAAATAAATTGGTGTTTTACTATTTTGTGTAATATCCACTAAAATAAGTATTGAAATAATTCTGAAGAAAATGATTGTATAATTATATTCAGTGACTTAATCTGATTCTCAGAAAGACTTGAAGTCGACAAGAACAGTAAAATTATTTATTCTATATAATAAAAGGCTAATATGCAAATCAACCGAACAGGGGCATGACTGGTCACTATGACATGCACTGACCACCAGGGGGAAGATGATTAAGTCAGGAACTGCCCCTTGGTGGAGTGCCAGTGCGCTCCCACAGGGGGAGTGTTCAGCTCTAGACTTTGGTTTACCTATCAGGAAAATGATGTGGGGGTGCCGGGAGCCTCTCCTGCCTCTGGGGCATCGCTAAGGCTGTCCGACTGCCACGGGGAGCAGGCCCAAGCTGTCAGTCGGACATCCACTGAGGGCTCCCAGACTGTGAGAGGGCACAGCCCAGGCTGAGGGACCCCCCCCCCCCCCCGAGTGCATGAATTTCATGCACCGGGCCTCTAGTGGATATATAAATATGTATGTATACTGGTTGACTATTAAAATTAAGGTTTACAAAATTTTAACTGATATAAAATCCCACTTCATTATTCTTAAATATTTAAGAATACAATATTTATCTAGCAAGTCTTGAGAAAATCATGTTTAAAACTACTCTGGAGGATATGGTGGAGGAAAATGTATTTTCCTTGCTATACATATTTTCTCACTAGAGAATATAAATGGTTTGTGTGGAATGAAATTAAGCACATGGGACCAAACAAAAATGCTATAATTTGTAGGTGAAAAAAATTACACCAAAGCAAATTTTCTACAGTGTGCTAAATTAAAATGGTTGAATAAGGCATAAGGGGAAAAAGCTATCAACTGGAAAAAAAAATGAATGATCTGCCATGACTCTCTTGCAGTACAGCATTCAGGCATGTATGTGAACACCCCTGGTAACTAGGCCAGGGTATGAGATCATGTCTGTGTAAAGTATGTATGATGTAAAATATTCTCTTTTGTAATTACTACATTCTCTATCTTGCCAAATTGCTATCATGCCATAAAGATTTCCCCTGCTTCCTTGTAAACCAAAAGTCAGAAACATAGTATCCAATGCCTCTAGATTTGGTTGATTTGCTTGTCCAATATGAAAAACTATAGAATGAATAGATGGAATAGATATTTCATTTCCAGTACTGTGGAGATTTCATTGTGATAATTTTTCTTAACTGTAGAAGGTAGTCATGATTTAACTGGATAAAACCAAAATTTTACTATGGGATGTTTTACATTCAGCCTTAGCTATGGAGGCATAAGAAAAAAATAGAAGGAACTTTAAATAATTTGTAGTTCGACCTCTTACGCTGACTGATGTGGGGCTTACATCAGGAATTGAACTTACAAATGGTAGATTAGGGGCTCGAACTCTGATCAGTGGATCTTCAATCCAAGACTATCTTTCTTTTATCAAACTGTTTTAGTCGTTCTGTTATAAACCATTGTCTTACAAGCTACATAACTTTTGGCGTATTCCTTAACCATTTTATGCCCCAGGTTTCTTACCTGTAGAATTGAGATAATCCACTAAGTGGGAGAATCTATATAAAACACAGCTCAGTGCCTAGTTCAAAGCTAATCCAAATATGCACAAAATTTTATTGGTAGCTTAAGATGTTGCTGCTTTTGTGATATTATTCAAAAAAAGACTAATTACTACAACAGTTATAAAAATAACTAGTATTTTTGGGGTGTTCTTTATGTGTTAAGTACATCTACAAGTGTTTTACCTGGATTAATTCAATTCTTACAATAATCTTATTACATATTAAAATCAAATAGTTCTTCCCACACTGAGATAAAATTAAAATTATCTTTTAATTGTTCTGCTCTATCTGTTTTTGAACCTATTTCTTTAGGCAAATTAAGACATGCCATCTTAGTTCTTGCTGTTGTAAGATCATTTTGTAGCTCCAGTACAGGGCCCAAAAGAATGACTAGAGTGTAAAACACTTCTGCTTCTTACTACTACATTTCGTCTTAAACAGGGGTGCCATTTGGAGTAGAAATGATGAGGGCTGTGTTCAGCTCTAGACTTTGGTTTACCTATCAGGAAAATGATGTGGGGGTGGGAGGATATGGAGATAAATATTTAAAATTTAATATCTGTGGTATGTTTTAACTTAAAAACATTCAGACTGGTTCTCTTACTGGTATTTTCTATCTCGGATGGCTTCTCAGTGAGACTGATGAAACTACTCAAGAAGTTAAAAAAATTCCAACAAGGTTAAACACAGTTTGATACACCCATTGTCAACCTTACTCGGTTCCTAAATTCTGCTTTCCTTACCTGGGATATCTACTTTTTCATCTACCATCTTGCTGCACAGACTTTAAATTCAGTGTCAAGTTTCTATTACATTTTGTTGATAAAAAATATTTAGCTGTATACAGTATTTGTATTTCTAACATCAGCCCTACTTAGGATTTTTTTGTGAGTTAGTATAGGATTTGTGACCAGACATAGGTTTAGAAAATAGACTTAGAAATTCAGAAACTCCGCAGCTGCTAAACCTACCTAAAAACTATAATAATTCACTATTACTTATAATTTCTAGTTTACCTTTAAAGTTAAACATAGTTTAAATATTTTTGAGGGTCCTTTATCTCTTTTTTAGTCATTATATTGGAAAATATTTTATTTTCTTATATTATGTTGAAATAATGTCAGAGAGAGATCTGTAGTGTAACTGAAAATTGTAGAGTTCATCAAGCTCTAGGCTAAAATCTATTAAAGACAAAAAACAAACAAACAAACAAACAAAAAACAGCCAAATGAAAAAATTTATCAAACTTTGTTTTCAAAGTTAGTTATTCTAATCATCTTTGAACCTCTTTACCATGATATTTGTAATCTATTCACTGGGAGTTTTGAAATGCTCTTTTATC